AGAGATTTGCGCAGTGTTTGAAGGAATTAATTTCGCCAAATCTGAACACCACCCTCCTTTGCTTGAATGCATAAATTTTACAATTTATAGGTAATTTTATTATTCGTCTTACAGAGTGGTTATGTTTAATGTAAATGTATACTATTTGTACACCTTAAATGTTTCTGTAAGGATGGTTCTCATTTATTGTCCACAGTCAATCCATAGGAATCTCACGTTTCAGATAAATTCGAAATTTTATTGAAAAGTACCATCACTTTTTATTCTTGTTTATCTTAGTTTGTGTGACCCAACGAAATTAAGATATATGAGATTTATTGGGTGTGTTCTAAATTTGTTGAATAAACAAAAATTAATGGAGTAAAAATAGGCAAGCGTAAATGTTAACTTTTAGTTTTTGCATTTTCAATTAACGATACTCCAATTAGAAACCTAGAGCACCCCGCTTTCAAATTCGTTAATTTAACGACACTGGAAGGAAGGCATTCTACAAAATCAATATCCATGCAGATAATCCCAGACTGATGTATCTACTTATGCCTTTCGTTCAACAGTTTTGAATGTGTATATTTCGAAAATTATTTAGATTAATATATTAGCAGATTTTCTTATCAACTTGTTTCTTTTAAACATCAGCGGAAGTTTACTTACGGAGAATATCGTTGTGTAAGTAAATAAAGTCGACATTTTTATAGTTACGCTTAGCGTTACCCATAATTTACTTTTTTATTTTTGACCACTCTGTAAGGTTTATTTTATGCAGATTATGTATGTTTAACAGTTACGATAGTACAAGATGTTCAAATTAATATTTAAAACTAATGCCTACACCTATGTAATGTGTAGAAAACTAGTGAATTTTATTTGCTAATGGGTTTAAAAATATCAGGATTAGCTGCCAATTAAATTAACAATTAGCTACAATAAATTCACGTTGTATTTAATTCATTAAACTGTTGGACATAGGTATACAGTTCATTTATAGTCTGCCTATGTGCCTACTTCAAAAGTACTTACCACATTCTAACAATTGTCAACTGTTAAAATTTCTTAAATTAAATAAAAAATTTTCGTATACAAGCACTTTCGGTTATATTGAAAATTGACGTCGCTAATTTGAATACAATATTCCGTAAATTTTTCATTTGTTAATAAGGATAGGAACGTTGTATTGTCATTATTAAAGTAATTTGATTTTATATCTTGTACTACTCGTCCACTTCAAACATACCTGTAACAACATTAAAGCTGGGAGTATGCTAATATAATGTTAGCAAAGTATCGAAAATGTGAATGTTATTTATATTTAAAATATTATAGGGAGAAATACAATTTTATTTAAATATCACGACGAAAAATTTTTTTTAAAGTAGATTTGACAACTTCTGAAAAGGTGTTCTTCTAAAAGTATACATACTATACTAAACATATGTTCTTATTACTCGAAAAACCAAAATTGGTTTGATACGAATAATTTTAAATCTGATCATACATACATATGAAAATATGTACCATTAAAATCGAGAATTTCACAATTTCGAAACCTTGGTACCTGCGTTCTCTTCCAGCTTTAGCATTTTGTTTGCTATTCTGAAAAGTTTCTTTAACCCTTAAGTAATGTCCGATCTTCGCGGCTCTTGGGACACACAGAACAACGCGATGTGGTGGCCAGGCACTTTAACGGATCAGCAATCGTTGCAGCAACATCAGCAACAATTGTTACATCAACATCAGCTTCAACAGCAAGCTGTAGCACAGCAAGTGGCTGTTACTCAACAGCAAGATGCTTCAATCAATTCGGCCGAAGTTGCCGCTCAACAATTATTTCCGTATAAAATGACAAGCAGTTTTCATCATCCAGCCACTTCCTTAGCCAATGTTTCGGCCACGAATTTATCCATTCCCAGTGTGTCTTCTCCTACAAACTCTGATCGCTCGTACGATTATAGACTTAGTGGTGGCGCGTCTTCTTTGGGTATTTCTGCCCCTACGCATCAGTGGTGGGGTTACGCGAACACTATGGACAATTCTGTACAAAGTTCAGGAACATCCGGTTCCGCTGCAAATAATCAAGGTGCTAATAGTCCATCTGAAGTAAGTACTATCGAAAAAAAGTCCTTAGGTTCGGTAATATACTATACTTATATATTTAATTGCCCATTCGGTAGTCAAACATGAAACAAACAATTGTAGAATAAACAAAATTTAAGATTTATGGTAACTCCCACCTAGTACTTTTAAGGGTTGAATTTTAATTTTTATGTTTTAACATCTTAACTGTAACGTCGACACATTTTATTTATAATTAAAACTACGCGGCAATTTTGACTTGGCAACAGTGGTG